TTGTACCGTTGGCCAGAGCCTTCAACCTGATTTTTTTTTACCATTTAACGGAGCATTCACCCTTTCTTAACAAAACTAACAGAGCACTTTTCTCTTGAAATGGATTTGTGCTTATGTCGTTGCAATCTCATATTCTGTGGAATCCATTCACCAGAGAAAGTACAAAAGTGCTTGAGCTTGAATGTTACACTGATTTTGTTGGATGCTTAGCTCGAGGATTTTGCTATGACTCTTCAAAGGGAGACTCCAAGGTCATCCTATTAATTTCTGAATTTGTTGTTTTTATTGATCTCAAATGAGTTTTATATTAAATTCAAATGAGTATACACCTAAAAGGAATGAAAATACACAAAAGTTTTTTTGAATTTTTAGATACTCATTTTGTACGTTATGTATGCTCATTCAGTAACACTGTTATGATCATTTTAAAATGTTATATCAATGCATATTTCAAAAGTACTATATTACATTAAATTGACATAGGAGTTGATTATAAACACGCGAGCACAAATCATGATACTCGATCGCACGATTCTAGTACTCAATATCGGAGGTTTGATGCTCACTGAAAATGTCTTGATGCTCAACTAACAAAACTTTTCATAACAATGCTCATTTTGTAAGTTACGTATGTTCATTTGGTACTGATGTTATGATCATTTTAGAATGTCATATAGTGCATATTTCAAAAGTATCACATGACATTAATTAGATTCACATATTGAAATTCATAAGATTCATTAAAAGTACACTAATGCTTATTTAGTGAAACCTAGAGGTGGGCATAAAACCCGAACCGAACCGATACCGAACCATCCTGTAATGGTACCGGACCGAACCGTTTGTAAATAATGCATTTGATTTTTTTATATTTTTTCTATATCAATAGATCTAGACCAACAATTTTATACCCCTAGCATGTATGATGGATAGTGTACCCGGGGGGTATCTTATCTGAGGGGTTATCACGGGAAATAACTAGAGAGAAGTCAGAGCATGAATAAGAGAGAGAGAGAGAGTATATTGCTGAGAAAGTAGTGAGCGTATTTCGCTTGGGTTACAAATGGGGAAAAAAGGCGCTATTTATAGTAGTAATAAATGCCAGATAGGGACACATGTCATCATTCTGGTGGTCGAGGGGTCACCTCAACGGGGTTGGCGCTGGCAGTCGCATGTGGCCGCATTAAATGCGGCTGTTGGATGTGACGTCGTACTTGGTACGGTGATTCAGGCGCATGTGGAGAGGATATTGTCGAGGAAGGTGCCCTCGGCTGCAGATGATTAGCCGAGGGCTCTGAGTACCGGGGACCTCCTTAGTGCCGAGGGCTCTAGTGGTCGAGAATTTGGAGCCTTCGGCCAGGGGGCCGAAGGCACTCCCAGTGTGCTACGTGGGTTGCTCAGTACTTGGAGCGCTGTGTTTTGGACCTGCTGTGCTCCCTGAGCCGGGGGTTCCTGGGCCATATACTCCATCAATGTATTCATGTATCCCTAAGATATCTAAAATGTGTTTTATATATATATATTGTTAGTTTTTCTTTTTAGATAATTTATGTTTTATTTTGGTATGTATTGAAAGAATATTAAAATTTTAGAAATCATTAATGATTATTTATTTCTAGTAATGCAGTGTACATGACTTTTTGTTGTATCATGTTTGTGCATTTTTTACAACTTAATTAATATGGTTTAAATCTTAGCTCTCAAGGTTTAACTATAAATTAAATTAGAACTACGGAGTAATATTTAACCTAGAATGAAGAAGAAGAATGTTGAAGATTTCTATTATATTCAACAATTTGATGATAATCGTTTTTATATTTTCACATGAACTTAGTAAATTAAAAATGATATTTATCTCGTGTGTCATCGTTTTGCTATACTTTTTCTTAATTGTGTTGCACTGTTTGTGTATTTGTGAATTTTAGTATTATGTATGCAATTTCTTGTATTTATTTGAACATTTCATGTGAGTTGGTTGGTGTGATGATATCTACTAATTGTAAGATTTGTTCAAAAAATTTAGCATGTGTTTGACATTGTACCGTACCGTTTTGTACCGTTCCGAAACGACATGGTACCGAACGGTTCTATCCTTGGAACCGGACCGTACCAGACCGTTAAAAACCTCACGGATACATCACGGGATTTATTTTGAATTGTTTAAAATTGGTTTATAGTTGTCGGTCATGTGAAAGTAGTTGTCTAGCAAGGCATATTAGTTGTTTGACACGTTAAATCCAATTGTTTAAAATTGGTTTGAAGTTGTCTGTCATGTGAAAGTAGTTGTCTGGCAAGACATTTGAGCCGTATGTTAATTTATTTTAAATTGTTGAAAATAGTTTTGTAGTTGTCTGTTAGGCAACCCATTTGAATTGTCTTGCATGTCGCTTGGAATTCATTAAAATTGGGTTGTAGTTTTCTGTCATGGGAATTGACTTCTCTATCAATGTATTGCAACAAACTGTCTTTAATGTGATATAAAATGTCTGGCCTTTCTTCTGAGTTGTTTGTTAGTAAAACTGTATTTTATAGTACATTTTGATGAGTTTAGTAATTGTTAATGTGGTTATATAAAAGTGTTCAGAGATGATTGTATTTGTAATCTTTGCAAAAACTTACACATGTTCAAAAAACTGAATCCAATTGTTCAACATTGAACATGTAACATTGTACAATATTCGACACATTTTCCCAACTGTAATATGAAGAAAATACATGTTCAAAAAATCAAAAGTTCAAAACGGACAAATTTCCCCAACACTCTATACTTTAGCATTCTTCAAGACTAGTGTATATAATCCTTGCATTTGTTTCTCCATTGCAAAAGAAGTCACACATGGTATCACACATGACCCTAAGCCATTCGTCATCTTGAAGTAAATACCTACGATTAATACACAACACGTAGTCAGAACACATACCTGGTACAAATAACATATGTGAGGCATAGTCAATTTGTCTGGAAGAGACAACTATTGTCTGGCACAACCAACCTGATGGATAGTGTACCCGGGGGGTAGCTTATCCGAGGGGTTATTCCGGAGAATAACTGGAGAGAAGTCAGAGCAAGTAAGTATAGAGAGAGAAAGTATATTGGAAAGTGTTCAGCGTTTTCAGCGTGTTGTGACTTGTTTACAAATGGGGAAATGGGGTGCTATTTATAGTAGCAATAAATGCCAGACAGGGACACGTGTCAAGCGTCTATTGGCCGAGAGGTCATCTCAACTGGTTGGCGCTGGCAACCGCATGTGGCCGCATTTAATGCGGCTGTTGGATGAGACGTTGTACAGGGTACGGTGATCCATACGCATGTGGAGCGGATATTATGTCGGAAAAGGTGCCCTCGGCTGTAGATGACTAGCCGAGGGCTCTGAATACCGGGGACCCCCTTAGTGCCGAGGGCTCCAGTTGCCGAGGGCTACTCATTTTCGCCGTTTTTCCCAGTAACCTTGTTTTCCTGTCTTGGCCCTCCTGTGAGAATTAGAGCCTTCGGCCAGGGGGCCGAAGGCACCCCTGGTGCATATTGTGGGCTGCTTGGTACTCTGGGCGATGTGATTTGGGCCTGTTGTGCTTTCTGGGCCTGTTGGGCCTTTATTGGAGTAGTAGGAGTCTGTGGGCCGGGGGTTCCCGGGCCATATACTCCATCACAACCTTTGTCTGGCTGTGAGACAGAGTAGTTAATTGGCCCAGACTACTAATGTCTGGCCTAGACAAAATTTGTCTGGCTGTAAGACAGAGAGTAATAAATTGGCCCAGACTACTAATGTCTGGTCCAGACAAAATTTGCCTAGCCGTAAGACAGAGAGTAGTTAATTGGCCCAGATTACTAATGTCTGGCCCAGACAAAATTTGTCTGGCTGTAAGACAGAGAGTAGTTAATTGGCCCAAACTTTAAGACAAAACCGCATTCACTTTAGGCTAGACAGACATTCGAGTTCTAAATTGTCTGTCCGCCAAACAAAATACAAACGACAAAAAAACAACATATTCTTCTCCAAGACAGCTAATTACATCTCAAAATGCTCATTAAACAATGAGGTACAAAAAAATGAAAAAGAAGTCTTGAATTTCAACAAAAACTTCATTGAGTAATTTCTACAAACATGTTATGGGCATAAAATGAACTAGAGAAATTACATTAAATTTTTAATTAATTAACGCCTCAAAATCATTACAATGAAACAAACTAATCAATTATTCACTTTTATATCATACATAATATACATAAAATCGAAAAAATAAAATAAAATAAAAAACGCACATGAAGAAAAATTGGAAATAGAGTACGTACCTCATTATTTGAGAAGGGATGATTACCTTACCTTAGAGACAACTAAATGGGGAGGTCTTGAAACCTTCAAAAATGGAAATAGAGCTCTTTGCTGGAAATGAAAAGAGGAGAAAAAATGGGGAATGAGGGTGAGAGAAAAAATGGGGAATGAGGGTGGGAGAAACAAATGGGAGTGTGAGATGAGACATGTTTGGAAGGGGTAAAAAAGATCGGTAAAAAAGGGATATGAGGTAGAAATGGGTAAAAGGTTAAGCAAAATTGGTGATATAGGCACTGCGTTTTCTTGCGCAGTCCTCCATAGCAATGAACATCTAACAATCCAAACTTTTCTCTGCAAACGAGTTTTCAAGTTCCTCGTGTCCGTCAATCAAACCATTCAAATGACCTTCCACTCTTCTCTCTCGCTTCCTCTCTCTCTTCTATCTCCTCCCAACCCCAAGGTCTCTACCACGTCCACTGTTCTCTTCACTCAGGTTCGCACTTTATGTCGCCGGAAACGATTTTTAGCGGCGAATTTCCATAACGCTAGCGTCACTGCCGCCGTCGGAGATGACTTACCACTCGACTATGCGAACTGGACCCCCAATCGAAACTCCTCTGCTAGTGATCGCAGAAGAGCTGGAGTGCTCCTCCACCCCACATCGTTTCCTGGCCCTTACGGCATTGGAGACCTAGGTCCCCAGGCTTTCCGTTTCCTCGATTGGCTTCACGACGCCGGTTGCTCTCTTTGGCAGGTTTGCTACCTTTTATTCGTACTGTCTGTCTTATCTAGATGCCAACGTAGTCCGTTCATTTTTTGTATAACTGTGGAAATTGCTCCCTTTCTAGCTTGCAAGTGGCTGATTAGTGTTACTGTGTGTACATTGTGCTTCCATTCTTGAATTTTAGCTCCTGGACTGGTCTGCCATTGTTAATATGAAATTATGAATATATGATGTTGATATAAAAAGCGTGATCTTCCTGGAAAACTAAGTTGCCACTTTAAGTTCCTATTCATTGAAAATGAAGAAAGCGCCATTATCTCTATTCTGTACAGGTACTTCCTCTTGTTCCTCCCGGAAGAAGAGCCAATGAGGAAGGATCACCTTATTCGGGCCAGGTGAGTCATTCAATCCTTTTTTAGTTGGCATTGCAATGTTTGCTGTGTCCCTTTAACATTAATTGAATGCTGCATTTCATAGGTAGATACACAAAAAGGAGCAGTTTTTTAATTATATCATTTTATAAAAAAACATTTCCCTCTGCAAAAACTTTGCAGATATGAAATAGGAATGGCTTGCCTCCTTTCTCATGTTGTTTTGTTTTCCCTTCTTTTGTCAAAGCTTGTAATCCTGCTTGAGAGCTTTAGGTATTACCGTTGTACAACATTATAAATCTTACATTTGAACCTTAAGAAAATAGGGAAAAATAATAAAAATACCCCAAACTTTGATGGGGTGTGAGTAAACACTCCAAACTTGAGTATGTAATTTAAATACCCCAAAATTTATATAAAAAGTTATTTTTGCACCATTATCATGTATTATTTCTTTCAAAAATGTAAATTTATGGGGTTAGTTGCATAATTTAAAATAGCAAATTAAAAGTGTAGCAATTATATAGATTGGGTGTAACATTATTTATTTCGCAATGGAAGTTTATAATGTTAATTGTGTCTTCATGAATTCTAAAATATTTTTAAATTATGCAATTAACACCATAAATTTACATTTTTGAAAAAATAGTACTTGATTATGGTGCCAAAATAAATTTTATATAAAGTTTGGGGTATTTCAAATACACATGCAAGTTTGGGGTGTTCATCTCACACCCCTTCAAAGTTTTTTTAATTATTTTTCCCTAAGAAAATTGAAAATGTTCTACCTATGGTTACTTTCAGGATGCAAATTGTGGTAACACCCTTTTAATTTCACTTGAAGAACTCGTGGATGATGGTTTGCTGCTGAAAGAGGAGCTTCCAGAGCCTCGGTAGACAATGTTATAACCTGCAACACTCTGTTGCACAACCATTTTGCTGGATCTCTTCATGACTTATCTGAGGACTTTACTTGTTTTTGTTCCAGAATCATGGATCGTGTGGATTTCTCAAGTGTTGCTGAAATAAAGGATCCTCTTATAGCTAAGGTAAATGTATTCAGCTTACTTTTGAATGCCAAGAACTGTAAAAGGCATCACAACCACTACCTCGCCCTGTTCCATTTGTAAATAGAAAGTAGTAGGGACAAAATCGCTTTGAACAAGCTTCTTAAATGCTGCTTTTTAACCACCGTTAGCTCTCTTTTTGTCGTTGCTTTGTTTTCTTAAAATTTTCTCCATCAGTGTTGTTATAAACAAATAGATAAATAGTCAAATACTACTCTTAGTAGTCCATAATGTGAGAGCCTTCTCTGCTTACCTTAGTACCTTCACTTGTTTATCTGTTGCTATCTCTCTTTAGGCTGCAGAGAGGCTTATTTCCAGTCGAGGGAATCTCAAATATGAGCTTGAACAATTCTGCAAGGATAGAAATATTGCGAGTGAGATAAATATTCATCTTTTCTCCATTAGTAAATTAAATTATTATACAAGTAAGCTACTGTGAAGTTAAGCTATAAAGCAATTATTAATACTTTTGCAATTCCTTAACTTGAAACATCCTTCCTAAAATTTATTTAGGACAATCTAGCTATCATGGTGAAGGGCTTGGGGGATGACAATCTACTGTAGATGGTCAAAGTTGAGCAATTAAATTAGGTGTAATAGTTAAGGTTGTTGTTCTGTTTTCTCTTCGTAATTAATATATGTCATTTAATATAACTAAGTTTGGGTAAAAATCATGTGGTTTGTAATTGGTACTTTGTAGGAAAGTAAACATCTGTATTTACTAAATAGCATTAGTAACTCATCATCATCATTACCCCAGTGCCGCAAAGGCTCCCACCTACGGTGAAGGTAAGGGTGAGCCTGGTCTTTAACTAAATGGAAAAATCAGAAAGTCAATTCCTGCTACTACTTCACCTGTTGAAATATAATGTAAACCATCCACTACAACTCAAGAAATTTATTCTTGTACATAATCATCAGTATATTAACTTGATGCATTGTTCTTGCTTCTATTATCAAAGTTTCCATATATACATTGATCCATTTCAGGTTGGCTTGAAGATGCAGCATGTTTTGCTGCTATAGACAGTACTTTTAATACACTAAGTTGGTATAGTTGGCCAGAACCATTAAAAAACCGGCATCTTGCTGCAATAGAAGACATTTATCAAAGTAAAAAGGATTTTGTAAGAACTCAACAACTCTGCTAACACCGTTATTCTAAGCCTGTAATATTTCAAAAACTTGTGTGTACTAATATTTGAACTGGTACACAGATAGATATATTCATTGCTCAACAGTTCTTGTTCCAAAGGCAGTGGAAAAAGTTGCGCAATTACGCACGTACCAAGGGAATTAGTATAATGGGAGATATGCCAATTTATGTTGGCTATCACAGTGCAGATGTTTGGGCAAACACAAAACAATTTTTGCTGGTTTGTCTCTTCTTTACTCGAACTTTATCCAAATCCCTTTTACAATTTTCCAGAGCATTTGTTTTTGGCACTTAAGAATCATTGTTGTAACAGAACAGAAAAGGCTTCCCCCTTCTGGTTAGTGGAGTCCCCCCTGATGCTTTCAGCAAAACTGGTCAGCTATGGGGCAGGTTAACACCAATCAAGAAACATGATTATCTGTGGTTGTCTGTATTGCTTTTAAAATTAAATTTCAGCTATCTGTGATATTGCGTTTGTCATCAAGATATGCTATAACTGATTTGTCAAAGATTATTGTTGTATCCTCAAGTCTGGGATGCCTAAACTTAGGCCCTTTCCAATTAATGACTTTTCTTTTTTGGCTGAAGCCCTTTATATGATTGGAAAGCTATGGAGAAAGATGGATTCTCATGGTGGATACGCCGAATTAGACGAGCACAGGATCTTTTTGATGACTTCAGGATAGATCATTTCAGAGGATTTGCAGGGTTCTGGGCGGTCCCCTCCGGTAAGATACTAAGATTTGTTCAGTATATATGTTGTAATTACACATCATATCCTCTAATGTAAAGGAAATCAAACAGTTTATTTATGTGAATTTATGCAGAAGCAAAGATTGCAATGGATGGTCGGTGGAAGGTGAGTTATGCTTACATCTCTGGCGATTCACCTCAGTTGATTGCACCTTGTAAAAGTCCTCTGTTGGTATGTTGTCTGTAGGTGGGTCCTGGAAGACCTTTATTTGATTCCATCTCGAGAGCTGTTGGAAAGATAACTATTATAGCTGAAGACTTGGTAGGTTATTGGGAACTGCTGTAAACTTATTTCCTTTTTAAATTACTCTGCAGCCTCACTAGCTTGAAAACTATGTTAATTGTGAACTCTTCTTGTCGGACATCTTTGGGCAGTTGACCCTCATAAACATGAAAAATAACTTTATGTGCATGAATTTATATTCTCTCTATCTCCACAAAGATTAGAAAGTGGAAGGGGTTGGGTAGAAGGAAAACTAGATTAAAGGAAAACTAACAGCATGTTCGATAATGATTGAATTTACTAGTCAAGTACGAGTATTGCCATTTGGCCATTGGTTAAATCTTACTTCTGCAGATTGTAGGGAAGTTATTATTGTAGTTATGGTTTTAGACATGACCCATGACAGTCAAGACTTTGGCGTCATGATTTGTTGTTGTATTCTTTATTATAAAGACAGAAATGATGCATCAAGCACTTACTGTCAGACCTCTATAACTACTTGGCAGCTTGGTACTATCTTTGATTCAACGTCTGTATAACATCTATGGGAGTTGGAACTTCATAATATTTTTGACTTCATGTTTTTCACTGATTTCTCCTTATGACCCCCCCCCCCCCCCCCCCCCCCCCCCGCACACATTTCTAACTTTGTGATATTACTGAATGTCAGGGTGTTATTACTGAGGATGTAGTTCAGCTTAGGAAGTCAATTGGGGCACCAGGGATGGCTGTCCTGCAATTTGGTAGCCACTTTCTGTTTAGTGTTCATAAGTGTCTTCATTTTCATTATTGAATCATATAGGTTTTTTATTAAATGTAATTTGTATTGTGATCTCCAGGTTTCGGGAGTGATGCAGAAAACCCTCACCTCCCTCATAACCATGAGTGCAATCAAGTGGTATATACTGGGACTCATGATAACGACACGGTAAAATTTCATTGCTTCTGATTATATCTGTTGGTGTACTTTGAACCAGTAGGTCGTGATCAGGGCCGGCCCTGAGATATTGAAGGCCCTGTTTAAAATTAATTAAAAGGCCCTAAATTGTAAAAAAAAATATATTACCTTCTTTTCAATGTTAAAATTAAATCCTCCCTATTGATAACTAATTTAATTTTAATAATTAAAAATTACATATTCAGAAATTACATTAAAATATTTTGGGTTTGTCTCAGTAGTAGAATATTTGGCAGAACATTACTCTTACCTATTTCAAAATTTGGGCCCTCCGTCAAATTGTATTTCAAAATTTGGGCCCTCCGTCAAATTGGGCCCTGTTCGCCCGCACTGCTTGCACAGTGCCAGGTCCCTGGTCGTGATGACTGATGAGTTGCACCCTCAAATAGATTCTCCGTGCATTTTGGCAATTACTCGTAGCAAAATTAAGTTTTTAAAGTCTGAACATAGTTTGAAAATTCAGTTTTTGCTAAATTGTGTTATAGATCAGAGGCTGGTGGGATGTCTTGCCACAAGAAGAGAAATCCAATGTGAGTATGATGTAGGGAGAATAACTTTTTGGCTAGTATGTTTGTCACGTGGCTGACATTAATATTCATATGTTCATCAGGTATTAAAGTATCTTCCAGGCATTGATGAACACGAAATTTCCTGGGGCCTAATCCAGTCTGCACTTTCTTCAGTGGCGCGAACCACAATCATACCCATGCAGGATATATTAGGTCTTGGATGTTCTGCTAGGATGAACATTCCCGCAACACAGGTTGAAACAAAATATGCTTGCTTATTACTCTGTAGTCTCTCCAGCATCCATCCTTATTTGGTTAACATTGTTCAATTTGCACCAAGTTTAAAAAAGAAGTTTTATAGTTCAGAAATTATCTAGTGTTTATTCTGCTTATTAGTAGAACATAAGCAGAAAAAGTAGTATTCACCTTATTCACTGAAATAGATTTTGCGCAACGTTTTACCATTCATAAAATACAATTTAGTTAAATTAAGCCATTTGAACCAAATTGCCCTTAACCAAACGAGCTCCTATTTTGAAAAGAAAGAACTTGTGGATTCATACTGTTATTCTTCTTTCTAAAAAGTTACGATTTCAAAATAACAACAATCTCCGTTGTTTTCTCAAAACTCGTGTCAGACCTGAATAATCCTACATTTTGGATGGGGGATTTAAATCAGGAAATAAAGCAAGCACATGGGGGTGGGATATTAAAAATTCCGAATCTCCCAAGTAATTGTATTCCCTTCATTTGGACCTCAGGACTAGTGGACTACATCATCCTCAAAACTTGATTCATCATATAACATCTCATACTCTTTCAGCTCTATTTAATGGTGGAGTTACTACACTTAGTTTAGAATTCCGACATTGGAAAAAAATATATAATTGTTCATACCATCAATGCAGTTTGGGAACTGGAGTTGGAGAATACCTCAATCTATCAGCTTTGACAACTTGGAGGATGAAGCAAAGAAATTAAGGGATATGCTTGAAACTTATGGGCGGCTATGATTTCTTGGAATATAAAAATTGGAGTAAATGTTCTGTTTCAGCCTGAGCCTTTTCATGAATTAGGTTGTACATATGTACCCAATACTAGACGTCAAAGGTGAATCAAATTAAGAAGACATATGATCGTGAAGGATCAAAAGCTCTTTTTAGGAAGCCCCTTGTCTTCCCATTTTATTATGTTTGATAGTTCCTGAATTAAAGGCAACCAACATGAATGTACCTAATTCAATAATGCAATGTCAGTGATGAAGATTTGCTTCCTTCTCTTTTTGTTTATTTTTTATATGTATTGCAATAAATATCCGGACGAGATTAAAGCTGGGAGAAATTGGAATAATTATCCGGACGAGATTAAAGCTGGGAGAAGATTTTGTTTGCTTTACCAGACTATTCATTTCTTTTCTGGTAACAATTGTCATGCCGATCACATTTGATACGATTGATCTTAGAAATCGTTTGAAAGGCATGGGGCCTGAAGGTGGAGGGAGGACTGAGCAAATAACGCAAGTATGATTTCAACGCAAGTATCTGTTGATGCACAATCATACTGTTTTATCCCTGAGAATATGTGCACCATTGTATGTGAGTGATACCAGGAGCAGTTATAAAGTTCAAAGTGTACATTACTCACTGCCTGGTCCATATCACAATAGGCTAATTGTGCAGCACAAACACAGTATGTCAGCATGAAGCAAGATGATATTGACCACTAGAAGTAGTATCCTTTAGAAGTAACTTCATGGTTGTCTAGTCTTCTACATTTCATAACAAAAAGGAATGAAAAAATTAATAGAACACATTGTTATCGTTCGTTGCACGATGAACATATTAACAAAGAGGTAATACAAGGTTCAACTCTTAAAATATTTGCTAAGACTAATCAATAAGCAGAGGCGGATTGTAGTGGACTACTGGACACTCCATATGAAGTATTCAAACCTTTGTCACGTCGTCGTGAAATTTGTTCATTCTTAGGTATGCTGAGGAAAGACCAATGCTACAAGAGAACAATAGCGTATTGAGTAGCTTTTATGTCTCGATACGCTGTCGATTATTCATATGAGAAATGGGCATATGGATGAGAATCGGATGGTAAAAGCAAGAGGTTGCTACAAGGTGCTATACGTAGGCCAGATTTAATATAATAAGGTGTCATCTTGCAAGAAGATGTATTAGGGGAGGATGTTGTAGTTGTAGAGCTCATTCTAATACCATGTTATTATAACACAATTGAGACACATAAATATATGAAGTGTTCTGGGTTGGGCACTTGGGCGTTTGGGTCACATACTTTTTAAAGTTTTAAATATTTAAGATAGATGTTCTAAATTATTCATTTCGAACATCTTTTATCTAAATATTAACACACTTTTTAAAGTTTTTTATGCTTTTTTATTTTTTTTATCTTTTATCTTTCTTATATTCTTGTGTTATTGTTAACTTATACGAAGTATTTATTTATCTTTATTTTATTCGTTTTATCTTACCTTTTTTCTTCCCTTTCTTGTCTGTCTTCTCTGTTGGCATCGATATCATAGATCTATTCATGTTAGCCGACCCCAAATTCTTTTGGGATTAAGACTCGGATGTTGTTGTTGTTCGAAATGTATTCATTTTATTTTTATTTTAAAAGTACGATTATAATCACTTTTTTAGAATCTAGATAAAAAGCGATTGAGGCTATTTTAAAAGTATATATGTGTAGAACAAGAATAACATTTCCAGAATTTAGAAAAGAAACGATGGAGAGTATCTAAGGATAGAATTTAGAATTAGAACCACCTCTCTATAATCTGAGAAGAATTTTTTGTTGGAATAAAATGTTTCAAATTTTAAGAGTTGTGTTTGAATTTATATTCACATACTCGGTCAAATTAATTCTACTTCTCAGCCCTTCTTGAAGGATCGAGCAAAATCAATTTTAAAAATCCGTGCAAATCAGCTCCTAAATTAGAAGAGAATATATCAGTAAATCATTTTTAATGGTGTTTTTTCCTTATAATTGAATTTATGAACAAAATAGTGATTCATATGTGTATATATAATCACAAACAATATTGTGTAAACTGTAAAATCGAACATAGTAATGATAATTAAAGTTATTATTGTAGTCACGGGGGAACCGGGATCTCATCATAGGAAGGGCAAAAAATGAATGCAAGCAATCAAATTTATAGCAAAATATAGAATTATATGTACACTTTTACAATAGTGGATTGGTCTATTTAAATTCTTTGAGATTATCTAGGACAATTCAAAATCATTCTCTTGTGATGATATTTCTTATATTTGGTTTTGCATCACACAATTAAAAGGAAATTAGTATGCATATATCAGAGATACCGCCCTCTAATTATACAAATCAATATATAAGATGAATTCCATCTGAAGTCAAAGTTAATTTATTAGATTTGATTAAAAAATTAGCCCACATATTTATAGATCCACTGCATTCTTTCCTCTAATATATTTCAAGCTCTAATATATTTTTTCCTCTAATATATTTCAAGTTTTTTATCTACATAAAAATGAATAAAGTAATAAATTTAAGATTATAAATCTATCAATCATAAATAATATGAAGTATATACTCTCTCCGTACCTAAAAACTTTATTAGGTTTGATTGACACGGGAAATAATAAAATAAAAACTGAGAATTGCACAGATGAGAGAGAAATAACAGGAACCAAAGGTTCATTGATTAAAAAGAAAAGTGTCAAAGTCTTTGGACTTCTAAATAAGAAAATCTGATAAAGTTATAAGAGACAGATGAAGTACTATGTATCACTTTCATTAATATAATATGATAATAATTAATAGGTATATTAACATTTAACTAGTTTTACATAGAAATTTAATTCCTAAATACCCAAAAAAACTTCTGTATAACTATTAATCATCTTCATCATTACCCTAGTTGCGCTCCCACCTACGGTGGAATAAGGGTTTGTATAACTACTAATATATAGTACAAAACATTAAAATGTTGGAGGAGGGGGGGGGGGGGGGGGGGGGGGCATACCTCCGCCCTTGGTAGTCACTAAATTATATGTCAAAATTTCCTTCACTACAATGATTTTAGTCATATGTTGGTTATTATTTATTTATGACGATTCACGCTTAGTTTATATTAGACTCACAACCTTTTTTTGTTTATTCGTGTATAATTCACGTATAATACACTCAAACATATAATTCACGTATAATACTCCTGTTTATGATTTTTTCAGAAAATTGTGAAAACTTCATGTACTTTAAAGAGAAATTGTATAATACACGTACCGTACGTATTGATATGTATTTTGTTAAAAAACATTAAACTGAAGTCTAATGGAGTGGTACAACTGAAGCGAAATGTCTAGTTACACAATACTATTTATATTGCTTAAAAAACTATTATTCCTTTTACGTTCATTAATTGTTAAATAGTCAATAGATTCAATAAATTAGTTCCTTAAAGTCATAATCCATTTCAATATTACTATTGTATTACTTTTGTGCTTCACCCATACCAAGACTCCAAAGAGAAAAGAATATTGCGGCGACTCACCAAACTCCCGGCCATAGTAACATCAACTATTCTCTAGTAATGTCTCTGTATTTCTACTCAAATAGGCAATGTCGTTTTTATTACTTATTGTACCTATGAATTCAAATTTGTATATTTGAAAAAACTATTCCGTACATTTTAAATTATTGAAGAATGTGGTGCATATGTTAAATTACTCTTTATTTCTATCATTAAATTAGTATATATTGGGATATTAGGATCTGGCCCAATGTCCGGCCCAAAATATCCCTAAGGAACCCATGAGTATTGGAGCCCAACAAATACAAATCAAGAACAATGAACACCCGTACGGGAACAACCCGTTCGGTCACTCCCGAACGGCCTGAACCTAACACTCAGTAAAAGGGAGCACCATCCATAAAAAGGTCAGCCTAAGTTGGCAGGAGATGCATTTAATGATGGAGGTATGAGAAGTCAAGTGGCAAGCATGAGAGGTCAAGTGACAAAGAGATCATCCAACCAGAATTGGCCACATCATCTATCTCACCTACCCACTCCTAAAATAAATACATGCATTTATGTCATTGTAAAGAGTTAGTATTTTGATACTCACTAGAAATTATCACTCTCTAGCTCTTGTATTAGCAACCGGTCCAGAATTCCTGTTCGACCATTTCTCTGTAAACTGCATTCATACGCTAATACAGTTGGGCTATTGAACCATTTTGTCTATGGACCATCTTTCTCACTTCCTGTCTTGCATAAGCATATTAACGATAACCAAAGAGCTTTGTTGGGCCTTTGGGATCCATACAAATTAACCTCAACAGTATATAAGACAATTATTATATGTCGTATTTTTAAATTGTGAAACATTTAAAATACGTTCGTATCTTTATCCATATTTCATGAACGTATGAAACATATATTTTGCCATATTTTATATAATTGTATTGTATTATACACGAACGAATGTACATATTATTGTATTATTAATGAACCGTATAATATAATACTAACCAAAACACATGAAATACATTATTCTTCATTAAAATGATTTTATATATTGAAATAATTTTGAAGAGGCCAATTATTTGAATTGCTTATAAGTTTCTTGCATTGATGTAATTTAATTTAGTTAACCAAAACACATGAAATACATTATTCTTCATTAAAATGCACATACCGCATTTTTGTCATTGATCATTACATCCCTTTTTTTGAAAGATTACATCCCCTGGTTATTTGTTTTCATAAATTTAAAATATAGAAATATATGCTAAAATCATGCCTTTCCACCATTAAAAAAAAGAAAGAATGATAAAAATATTACTTATGGACTTTAACTAGACAAAAATATGAACATTTTTTTTCTCAACAAAAAAGTGACCTGGAATAATCGTCCCCTTTGTCGCCCGGTCCATCATCTTCATTGGCTTCTTTCTTCACATCGCACACAAGACATTCTACGCCTTCTTTCTTCACACCACACAGATACGGAGAGCACAACAATGGCATCGATCTTCAACGCTGGACTCCTTCCAGCGCCGCAACTACCTCCGCCGCTGCCTGTATCTTTTCCTTTTCTTTTTTTCTTCGATCTAGTGCAAATCTAACGACGGAGATGGATCTTTTCCGATAACTTTTTCCGACGATTCTGTCCATCACAGCTCCACCGCTCGCTTTCCTTTTCA